TGCCTATCTTGTACAGATTTTGTTTGCATACGCGAATTTTACAAAATGGTGGCCGCTAGAATATGCAACGAAAATTACAGTTAAAAACCTAAGGATTACAAAAAATGATATATGAATGTCTCGATGTAGTTTATGAACGACAGCTGTCTGAGCTATTTCGATTTCTCAGCTGCTTTCAGATCATCTGTACAGTTTATTTAATTGAAACATTATAGACTCTCAGACTACTAAATGAAATCGCGTCCTTGACGACTTATATTTATGAAAAACAACTGCATTAAAAACAACCGTCCATTATGTGAGGTTTTATGTAGATTGATGATATACCAGTAATTCCTGGCTTTGACGTTTAGTGATAACTAGCATTAATGAACATTGAAAGATAACCTCAGTGCAACTTGGTCGATAGCATTCGATCTGCACTAAGAAGGACTTGACACATTCGACATCGATCACCCACAAGCGATCAATCAATTGGGAGGACTCCTGATAATGTCGTGCTAACCTAAGTGATCCACAACGAAATATTGCTTATTTAATAAACGTAATGAAGTTTTATTAGTCATTCAAGGTTGTGAAATTTACCAAAGTTCAGGCAACATATGCAGTAACTTTTACGCTTCTATTTGTCGGCGGGCAACGTTGCGTTATTTTACGTGTAATCGACCACTGGACGCCATGTTTAAAAGCACCAACTACTGCATAACAGCTATAAGCGAAAAGCTGGAAATATTTCTGTTTTATAGGAATGAAAAAAGAAATATATTCAAGACATGACATTAGTTATTCCTTTGTGAGGCATACATTATATAGACAAAACTATATGTGATAGATTTGCCTATGAACAATGAGTTTAAGAATTCCAATCCAGATATTTAATTCGAGCATTATTGCATAATCTTAGGAACCTACTGGTTTCAGCTGATATTTCCTACGTATCATCGTTTGATTTCAAAAACGCTGATTACTCCATTAATCCGCTACATATTATATTTGGTCACCATTATGTTCCAGATTTCTAACAAGGACTTAACATGTGAGCGGCCGGCAGAGAGTAGTGTAAATTATTGGCTTACAATACACATTATATACACATATGTATATTAATGACGTCAAAGAATCCCAGAAAACGATAACATGAGCATCCAACTTATATAGTAAAAGAAGTGATGCTAAAAATGATAAAATAAGTTTTTTGATAGTTTAAATTCAATAGATAGCTTTATTTACACTTATTTATAGGAATTTATTTTCAAAGTGACTTGTTTGTATGTGCAAATAGTCATGTGTCTGTTGTAAATGTAAGCCCCGCAAGATACGGATTTCGGTTTTCCTTATAGTCAATTTTTGTGAGGAACATTTAATTACTGTCCATATGTTCAATATACTGACGTTTTTTGAAATTTATCACGTGTTTCGGGACTAAAAATTTTGAAAATTAAGATTATTGCTGAAATTCAAGTTACTTGAAAGTTTAAACATTTGAGGCGAATGCCCAAAAACATTATTAAAATGTCGCATTGTTTACATTTTCAATTTATTTGTGAGCACGCATTCTGGATGCGGTTTTTCATACTCATAACTGGGATGTTTGTAATAGTTTGTAAAACCTAAAAATCCTTATGCAATATATTATGTGCTATTATATTGTGGATTTATGTCGACGTTTATTCTCCCAAGATTCTCAAAGTTCGAAATGACGAACAAGATATGCTCAGCACTTGGCACTCTCTGTTAATCAATGAGCCCGGGGTTTCTGAAGGCTTTTTCTGTTCTCTTTACGAAACTTGTTTGAAATTAGTACGTCTTCTTTTTCCGCAACGAAAGGCCAAAACTTTCAATAATAAGTTAGAGATTAAAGCAAAATCTGAATTCCACTACACATACGTACACGAAGGCTATTCGGTCTTCTGTCATTTGTGGGGAATGAGTCTGTATAAAATCTAGTCATTTCCCAAAGTAAATTTAACTTCCTACGTCCTACTTACAAAAAAGTACTTAAGCAAAGATCCATATATTTATTATTAACTAATACTAAAAATCAAACACCTTAGCTACTTGCTAACTACAGTGACAGGATATATAAAACAATTAGTCCCTTTGATAAATTTAGATAATGCAATGAGAAGACGTAGTTTATCAGAATTATGTGATATATTTGCGCAATACATTTCGAACAATCTGATCACACATATACTTGTTAAGAACATTTATATATGAAAAATTAAAAGGTCAACTAGACAGGTTAAGGGTAAGTCATAACAAAGGAAAAATTATTAAAGTACACAAAAACAAATGTGATTACTGTCCAGAGTGGTAATCAGATTCAGATTCAGATTCAGATTTGTGTAGTAAGGACAGAAGGCCTACGGCCTATGTTATTCCTTTTCTAGTATGCTTCTGTGAGTGTCCAGTCTTCTCTTGAAAGAGTCAATTGAAGGTGCGGATACCACTGCTTCAGGCAGCAGGTTCCAAGTATTGATGACTCGGTGTGAAAACCTGTATGCCAGGGGTATTTTGTTCGTTCTTGGCTTTTCTACTCGCCTGCTATGTCCTCTGAGGTGTCCCGATCTAGTGGGAAGGAAGAGAGAGAATAAGTTAGGTCCGAAATCATTTCTTAGTATTCTGTACATCAATATTAGATCTCCCCTTAGTCTGCGATAGGACAGAGTAAAGAGGTTCAGTTTTTCAAGCCGCTCTTCATATGATAAACCCCGGAGTTCCGGAATCGCACGCGTAGCTGCCCTCTGTACCTTTTCTAGTATGTCTGAGTCACCTTTTAAACAGGGGCTTGCAGCCTGAACACAGTTCTTTAACTTAGTTCTCACTAAGGATGTGTATAATGTGGTGAACATAGTAGTATCAAGCTTAGTGAATGTCCTTTTTAAAGCCCAGAGGGTTCGAAACCCCTTAACTGCGACCTCCCGGCAATGGGCCGTCGTCTTAAGATCATTGCTCACTGTCACCCCTAGGTCCTTATGAGACCGGACTATGGGTAATGACATCCCCTATGTTGTACGTATTAACCTTTGAATCCCCCAAGTGCATGTAGACACACTTTTCCGAGTTGATAGGCATTAGCCACTCTTTAGACCAGTTTATCATATTATTTAAGTCCGCCTGAAGAGTAAATGCGTCTGTGTCACCAGTTATTACTCGCCAAATTTTTACATCGTCAGCGTATAATAACATTGGAGACTGTACTATACTTGTAAGATCATTAACGTACATTATAAAAAGTAAAGGACCTAGGACGGAACCTTGGGGTACTCCACTAAGTACTGGTCTCCAGATGGAGCACTTGGAATTTATTCTTACTTTTTGCCTACGACCTACTAGGAAATCCTTAATCCATTTTAAAAGAGGTCCGGCAATACCAAGGTTTGCCAACTTCAATAGCAGTCTATTAGTTGGCACCTTGTCAAAAGCCTTACTGAAGTCTATGTAGACAACATCCACTGATTTTCCGTTGTCTAGCGCATTAATCCAGAGCTCCCTAGCTATAAGGAGGTTCGTTGTACAGGATAGACCCTTTCTAAAACCATGTTGTGCCATGTTCAGCAAGTTATTGGTTTCCATAAATGCCGTTATGAATCTGAATCTTAATTAGCCAATATTTTATTTCTAATGTAACAATTTCATGTGTTTTATCAAATCTAAAGGAATTCATGTTCAGACCAAAAACCTTTGTTGCGAAATATTTTATTAAAACTTGATAATTCTGAGCTTGCCTTATTTTTATCAACTTATTCAGCCAAGGTTTGGGATCCTGAACTATTCAGGAACTACTTTTAAGACCACTGAACAAATGTGGTCAAGACTTTATAATATACTGGTGTTCTCCATAACGTTATTCCATTATTTCAGGAAATTTAAATTTAAGTTTATAAAATTGGATGATTAAAGCTTCAAAAGAACCACTTGTTTCTTGTTTGAAATCTGTAAGTCAGTTCTACGTAAAACTACTAAATATTTGGGTTGTACCGTACTTTTTAAGCTGAGTGATTTAAATTTCAGGCCTTCGTCATATTTGGATGGCATAATGAGGGGCAAATCTACATAGGGATGAACTGTTTAGTTATTCCACAAAAATTTAATCAGTTGGTTTTGGTGACTTTATATGTATCTAGTCGCCTTATGCATTCCGATTTATTTCATTTGTCCTTGTATTTTCTGATCCCCTTATTTTCCGAACTCTAGCTATTTTGCTGGTCGGCTTTCTCACTACTTATTGGTATATAGGGCCAGTAACTATATAACTGTTAAACATATTGGATTGGGTGATACGTTTTCGCAGAACGTTTGGTACTCTCTAATTTTTCCGGTTACAAAGCTTGGACCTTTTCCCAGTTTCCGTGCGCATTGATATGATAGATAAAACGTCGCTTATTTTACAACTAGTCTGTATTTTTATACGTCGTCAGTTTTATTTATTTCGTAGATGCTACACTTGTTTTTTTAGCCTTTGTGTCTTACTACCTACATCGGATGAGACAAAAGGATTGTGCTGGCTTATGTAGTATTTTCATTTAGAAATCCTTTGAACACCATACTAAAGTTCTTGGAACTTTTTTAGTACATTAGGAATATTGATTTTCTATTTACTGAGGATAATTTTGTTACAACCTGTTAGTTTGTCGGCTGTCTTTCTATAGTATCGGAAAAATAGCCACTTCTACTAGGACAGGTGAGAAATAAGTTTCTTCAACTTCTCCTTCGGCAGGAGTCCTGAAGTGTGTTTCAGCCCTCCTGAAAAGTATTTGTACTCAATTTTCATTGCACTCCTGTTGGTTTTTCATCGCTGTAATTTAATACTAGGTTCACGTGTCTTAGATTACTGTGTACTCATATTTGTGTATTTCATGTATTTGTACCATTCTTGATTTTGTAAATGTTGTTTAATTCAGATGTTTTTTTTAGAAATACGCCCGCCAGTTTGTTGAAATGTGAAAATTCAAAGTAAACAAATATAGAACACAGACAGACGTCTAAAACAACTCATGTCATCTTATCAATCATATAGTGGTGTCGCTTATACAAATCTAAGTTCAGCAGCAAGTTTCTCTGCTGATCTGATTGCACATCGTGGTATTTGGCGTAAAATCATATCCATAATTGTGTTTATGGGATTTTTGATTACATCATGGGCTACTATTGTACTACATGTGATTAACTTTACAAATGAAAGTATTTTAGAGTTATCTGTTTCAGTTTCGGTATTAATAGCTGGACAATATATAAGTGAGTAAACAAATTCACTTATTGATAAATATTAATGAAAAAGCCAGATATTTCACGTATTATTCTTTTAAAGACTGCCGAAAAATTTATATATTGTTATATGCAAATTACTAACTGATGAAAATAAATACATATTGTCAACGTTAATCTGAAACTGAATCCGTGCTATCAGAACACTGTATAGTGTCCTGTTAGCAAAGAATTAAAGTTTCTTAAACCAAACGTAATTGTGAATCACTTCAGAATTATTCGGTGAGACTATAATTTATGGATGGCCTTTGAGCGACGCTGAAGTGAACTTAAGAGTGTACACCTAATAACTAAGACAAAATGAGGGTTATAAATCAGTGTGAGGAATTGGAATTATGAATTACGGTTGACGGTTAGGGTCAAGAATTATATTTAGGGTTTTCATCACAAACTAACATAAGCTATAATGCCAAAACTCTATTTAACCAAATCGATGAGTGAATTTCGCGCCAAAATCCGAGAGCAGTTATCTTATACCTGATTGGTTCGTTCATAAATTATAGTCTCTCCAATTATTATTCTTTATTTTATTTGTAAGTGTTTGGATCTTACTGATTTCGCTCTTCAAGAATAGAGTTTATCAGTCTCTTTTGATATATTTGGATCGGAAGAAAATTATCATATTTTATATAATTATTCACAAGCATTTTTAAGTAAGTTTGTATAGTGGTTAGCAGTGGAATCTGCGATTTGTCGGCTGAGTGTGCTTTGAATGTCAGCGTTGGTTTTCACTTGGAAATAATGAAAAAACTGTCACAGGACCCATTTATCCCATAAGAGACCGATCGTTCGCAGACTTTAACGAAAACAACAATGGAAAGATTTTAACACTTATAAATGAAGCAAAATATATTCGAACTACATAATCCAGTGGCCACATGAACTCAGTAGATAAGTGGACAACATATTAGGCGTTTTGAAAGAAAGCCATTAGGTTCACGTTTTTGTGTGGATACCAATATTTGGATCTAGATGCATTCGGCTGATGAGTCACTAATAGGATAAAGTGAAAGCTTTTGTTCTACTGATATGTACAATCCCTCCGTCCAGTCTACCTGTTTCGGTTTGGGCACCCGAGCAATATCCTAGCCTTCACACAAATCGAATGATTTATGTAGCGCATATCTATTTGATACCTTCTTGTACCTATGTTTATGTGTTTAAGTAAATAAATAGATCTATTCAATCTGCTTAAATATTGAGCAATTAGTGGTCTATGCATTCATGGTACTTCATAAAATACCTAAGATAAAAATACAATTTTTCTCTGTCAATTTTTTCTTGTTTTGAATAAAAGTAACGGGTATTGTGGATGGTATCATTTATTGGAGACGTTGGAATGCATCAAGTCAACGTCAACGTACAAAAATACAAGAACAAAATAAAGAAGCATGGGTGGTTATGCGAATTACATTAACAATTTTAGGAATGGCTCCAATTGCAAGGTAAACTAATAACATTCATTTCTAAAGTTTATAATTTAACTAAAATTTAAATGTTTTATTGTTGACTTGTACTCAACTACACCATAGAGAGCTTAAAATTAGTCCTTTCTTTTCACTGTCACAGGTTTAAATCGACATTTTCGCCAAACATTCTATTGACCTAAACTTTTTTTACTAATGTAGAATGACGATGCGTATCTATGCACAATTTTGTCAGATCCTAGATTACTTATAACTGATTTACTTTTCAATATAACCGTCTGTTTGAATGACTAGAAAAGTCATTAGTAGAGCATACAAATAAAATGTATTTGAAATTTTGTGTGACCTAGTGTTGTAGTGGACGAAAACACAAATGGAGACAATCGAATGTATTTGAGCAGATAATTACAGAATCACTTAGTAAAATCTGAGAGCAATACAGTAAACACTTCATTCGCAAAATATCAGCTCATCATCTCAGACTTGATTGTTCCTTTGTTTCCACAACAATCATTTTTTTGTTCTCGTTCTCTTTTCTTTGATCTTCTTAACCTTCTGCCTCCAGGTATTTCGCTTTCGATTGATGAGACATACTACTTATATTTGTCGACATCGGTAGCACACATCACAGTGTAATTTAAAAATGGACAGATTTTCAGCAACAATATACCTTTATTGAATAATTATGATCAAGATTAAAAGTTATTAACTTCATTAGAACAAAACTGTGATGTAAACTATTTTCAGAATTCTATTCAATACTGAAAATTTTGAAAATGTTTCTACACATTTATGATACAGAATTCAAGTAAACCGAACTAGAAATAATACATATATACACATATTTATTGTTACTATACAAATGAATGTTCATGTTACCAACATGTTCTTTTCTTTTCTATATAATCATATGTTTGTAATCAGAGAGGGGTTTTGTGGATATTATAGTAATTTAATGGTTGAATTCATGAGTTGATTGAGGTTAGATATTGGATGCAGGCTCAGTGGTTTGAAGGTTAAGAGTTCGCGAGTGAGATCGGTAGGTCCTGGGTTCGAATCTCGTGGGGTGGAATTGTGAATACGCACTGCTAAGGAGTCCCATACTTGGACGAAATGGCTATCCAGTACTTTCATGTTTTCCATAGTGGTCTAGCTTCAATTAACTCATGAATTCAACTATTAAATCATATGTTTATGTCAGTTCTAATTAACGCTATTCAACTCTTATGTAACAAATTCAAAGGATTCAAAAGTATCTTCTCATATATTTAACATATTTCCATAAATCATCTAATCGATCTGTTGCTAACTGATATTTAACCATATATATCTACACTGTTATGTAACTTAGTTCATTCTTAATAGTTTATCCAAGCCTGAATAGAGAAAAAATCCATTTAGGTCATAAAATAGTCTGATTAATTATTCATAACTATAAACTTCTATTTGGGTTTGGTTCACATAAAGAAAATATGTTTCAAAAGAAATTGAATAGATTATGAAATTTTAAGGAGTTTATTTCACAATGCACTGGTTACTCAATAAGCAAGTATTGAATATAAGTTAAATTACATTGTTCAAAACATGTCCACATAAATACAATCGACTGGTGGTTACCAATTATTAGGTAATGTTGTGTGTGTGTGTGTGTATAGTTCCTTGGTACTAATTGAATTCTGTCAATTGATTTGCACTATGGTCATTTAACATAACGTGTACTGTGTTGTGAGATGTAAGATTCGACTGTTACTGATTAATGTAGAAACTTGAAGACTCTATACTTATTGTCAACATTTTTATAAATAAAAAATCTACAACATATTTACCTGTAATCAGTGTAATCTATTAAGATACAATATGAATCCATGATAAGACAATAGGGGGATGGTTTAATCACTCAATTTCCAACTAGTGAATTTCGTGCTCTAAATCCAACTTCACCTGTCTTGGTTTGAATAGATGGATGGTATTTAGATTATGTTTCAAAACAAGTATGAGTTGTTTTTATATGCAAGTCGAATTGTTAACTCTCAAAGATAACGCTTAGACATCTGGTACTACAAGGTAACTCGTATTTATATCGTTAGTTGATTTGGAGCAGATCTATTGTTTGGTAAAATCCAAATTATTTCATTACTTGAATACATTTTGAAGCGTTTCAAAGAGTTTAAAATGACTATTTCTATATGAGTGTTTGAAAGTATAAGTAAATCATCTAGGTTAATAAATGAAACACATTAATTACAAGACTGTTATAATCAAACCACAATAAATGAGGATACGGATTGAAATAAATAACAATTTACAGAACCAATGAGAACGTGTAATAAACTAAGTCTCAAAAAAATTTCAGTTCGTATCATTTAAGTACTTGCAATGAAGTGATTTACAGTCTCATTGAGGATTTATATCTATTTTAAAGACAGTTGATATTTTAGTAAACCGTGCATTGTGGTTAGCAGTGAAATCTTATTTACTCATTTCATTGTATTCATGACTTGTCGGCTGGATTTACCTGAATCCAAATGTCAGTATTTACAAAGTGGGCTCGGACTTAATACCACTAAGTATGCACATATCTCAGTAGATAGTGATCAAATATAGTCTTTCATCTCGAAATAAATCAGAAAGCTCAAACCATGATAGATGTATAAAATGTAAAGATGGTGGTCAATTACTAAAAACAAAGTATTGATACAGTTGTATTCGACTAAGCTTGAAAAATTATTTGAATTGGCTTTAATTTGGACAATAAAAAAAGTATAGATCATTTTTTACCGCATTATGAAACCAGAATAATTATGAATTTCATTAACCTTATAGTTAGATCTTATTGATAAATGCTAATAAGCGTACTTTTCAACTGAACAACTTTCTATTGACTCATTCAGAAATCAACAATAGAATATTGAATCTAATTAGATTAGTCTACATGTAAAAAAAACTAGCATATTGAGATGACCATCGTTTCACTAATGCTAGTGTAGTGTGCTCTACTGATGTCGACAGATATAAGTAGTATGTATCATCAATCGAAAGTGAAATGCCTAGTGGCAGAAGATTGAGAAAATCGAATAGAGACCGAGAATAGAGAGTGATTAAACAACAAAGTCTGAAAAAATTGATGGATATTTTGCGAATGAAGTATTTACTGCATGGTTTTCAGATTTTACCAAAACATTATGTAATGCGTTCTCGTTCACTACAGTAGTAGTAATCATGGTATTATATACTGACTCGAATCTTCCAGTAAGATTCTTCGAAATTAATCTAACTGTAAAAGTTGAATACCAACATGTTAAAAAAAGTGAATACCTCTTTAATTTAGTCGAAAGAAGTACATAATGAATGAACACTCAGGTGAGGACAACCAATTTATTATTTCATACCAAATTACAGAATATCTTCGTAAAATATGATAGCCATACATTGAATACTTCATTTTCAAATTTCCATTATTTGTTCTTCATATTCTATATGATTCCTCTAATTCACGAATACTTTCTATTCTATTCAACTCGATCTTCTTAACCTTCTACTGCCAAGTTTTTCACTTTTGATTGTTGTTAGATACCACTTATTTCACTGGTTGAAATCATGAGTCAATTGAAGCTAAACCACCATGAAAAACCTGGAAGCACCGGACGGCCGTTTCGTCCTAGTATGGGAATGACTTCAACAGATACTCCTGAAGTTCTATTGAGAAGTCTATACCCGTGGACTTCAACCAGGTTGGTTGTGAGATATCAACTCACTGAAGACAATGGTGTACGGTGGTGCAACTTTGTGGATTGGCTGAAGTTAGACATAAGTAGCATACGCCACAAATACACTGATTCCATCTTTATATTATTCATAACTCTTTTACACTTTTCTGAAATCTTTCAATGTCATTTGAAGATAAACATTTGTTTGAACAAAGTTGGATAGTGGTTAGCAGTGGAATCCAGGACGCGCGTTTAGTCTTATTCGGGACTTGTTATCTGGATGTAACTGCATCCCAGAGTTGATGTTCACTCAGTGATTTATATCCAGTACCGTTCGCTTCAAACGCCATCTCATTATTCACTTAGTTACAACAATGGAAAGATACAAGCAAACAACTCCAAGTGAATTTGTTTGAATAATTTGAATTTCTCGCCAATCTTATATGATTAATTAAATGTTTACATCTTACATATTTTTTTATTATTTCAAGATATATTGAATCTTTGGTCGTAGTAAGAAGAATGGTTAGTTTAGAAAAACAATATATGTCTGAAACAATAGCCTTAGTTAAAGAAGTTCAACAACCATCTAATCTACCAAGTGGATCATTAATTAGTGTACCAATAACAAATACTCAATTATCACAACAAAGGAAAACACCTGATATTACTAGTAAGTAATTTATGACAGGTTACCATAAAATTTAAAATGTTTAATTAATTTTATTGGATTTTTACAATGGCATTTTAAAGATCCATTTACGGTGTTGACAGTTGCGTTGTGGTGACCACACTTATACATATAACAGCACGTAAGATCACCTGTCTGACTATCTAATGGTAACCATCTCCACAACTTCATACTGATAATTAATATGTGCTCACTAGTAACGAGGTTCATGAGGGCATTGTCGGTGTTCTAGTGGGAAGCCGTGATCAGTGAAGCTAATCCGTGTCAGGTGGACACAAGTATCTACCTCTGACAATAAAAGATAGTTGGAGGCATTAACACTGTTGGATTTCGGCTGGGTGGTTTGAAGCTTAGGCATTCACTCACGAGAATGAAGTCCCTGGATCCGAGTCCCGAGTGGGAGATCGTAGATTTGCACTTCTGAGGAGTCCCATACTAAGAAGAAACGGCCATTCAGTACTTCCACGTTTTCTACGTTGGTCTAGATTTAATCGACTCATGAATTCAACTATTAAATTAATGCAATCTTCACAAACCCCCGATTCTATTATTAACTGATTTGCTACAGTAAAGCAAATTATACCTGATAAAAATTAATCTTTTTAAAGCAAACGTTTTCTATGAATGTAACTTTTCACTGATAAGTCATTGTGTTCACTCTTTCTTGATCTTCTTTCAAATACATTGAACTTTGGGTAGAGAGTTAATCGTAAATATTTTTTCTCTTATATCCTAATGAGTGAAGAAAGTTATATTTCTGAAGTTTCGCGACTTAATATAAGCCACTTCTTGTGAGTATTCTGAAGATATTGATCTTCGTTTAGGTATTGAGTTTTAAAAGCAAAATATGTTAAGTAGTTGATATACCTGATAAGCAAAGATGGATAACGGCTAGCAGTGGAATCCAGGACGCAAGTTTCGTCCTATTTGGGACTTGTCATCTGGATGTATCTGTATCTCAGAGTTGATGTTCATTCCAGGACTCGGATCCAGGACCGTTCGCTTTAAACGCCATCGCGTTATCCATTTAGTTACTGAACCCTGATAACCACTTGTTTGTGAGATGGCGTGAATTAAGGCTATATTGAGGCAATACGCAAAGTATGCATAAGAGAATGATCAACTGCAGTCCTAAACATCAATGGGAAGATTCAAGTAAATAATACCAAGTGTATATACCTGATAGTTTATCTACTACCGTTTGTTATTAGGGTTGTTTATTCGGTATTTAAAACTTTACCATATCATCAACCCTAGTGTTCTATGATTATTAGTGACTATTAATTCATTAATCAACACAAAAACAACTGACACTGAACAAGGACTGTTTTTTTTATTTTCTAAAATTGTAACAAAACTTTGTATTTTATTTCTTCTCTATTCAAAATTTTAGATAATCCAGCAAAAATGAAACAGTTAGATACTGGTCTTCAATATGTACGTCGTGTAAGACGTCAATTTTGTCGTACAGAACATGATGCAGCTATCATAGCTTTAACTAGTGGTGTAATTGGTGCTGGACCATATGCAATAGCTCAAGGTATATTGTTTTATAGAAGAGAAACAATGCTGTTTTTTATGACACTTGATACAAGTAAGTAAACAGTATTTTCCATAATTTCGATAAGTTGTTTTGTTTTATAGAATGTTTGTTGAATTACAGTTGAATAATTTGAATATTACAGAATGAATTTCATTAGAAAATCATTGAAGATCAAAAAGCATTGGTTAGATATTTTATTCTAGTGTGTGATTTTTCACTACTGAAAGTTTATTTCCTCATTGAGGATCGGATCCAGGACCTTCAGATTTCATATTAGTCACTTTACCATCAGACCACTATATTGGCATTCAAATGTTCACATGTTAAAATTCAATCGATTCATGATATTGCACAACCTTATCCCTTTTTTGCAATAGATGAGAATGTACTTCACACCCAGTAGGATTGTACCCCGTTAGTAACGGCTTCACGCTACAACTACAGAAATCACTTCTTGAAGCTAGCTACTTGTGAACATATTATTATTACCATAGAAGTTTGAAGTTGATAGCTTACATCATGGATTCATCAACATTATCCTCAATAATCAAAGTGAATTAATATTGGATGTTTGAAGATAGTCTCCAAGACACAGTTAATATTGATTATTCACAACAAATATTTTCAATTGTTACTAGTTAAGCTTAAACAAATGTGCTTTAGAATTAAAAAGATTATCATCTGTTGAATCATGAATTAAATAAACATCTTAACGATTAGTGTCAGCTTTTAGGCTTTAACTGATATTTAATGAATACGATCAACCTGATAAGCTACGTTCTAATAACACCGTGGAAACATGAATTTATTAGTGATTTGTTTGAAACTCATTATTCAAGTATTAATCTTACAAGTAAATATCACAAAGAGCATACTATTTCCACATTTAGAATATACTTAATCCTACTAACTGTAATGAGTCACTCTGGATTTCATTGAAACTCATGACATAAAATAAATCTAAATGTCTAGTCATTTTACTGTACTCACAAATTGAATGTTCTGACTGACAGTTGTAAACTATTGATTAAAGCCACAACACACCAAAATGAATATCATCCATATTCTCTTCTCCCTAAAAGAGTACAAATGATAAAGAAAAGTACACAGCAATATAGTATAAAGAAATTGAAAGAAAGATATGTGTCAAGAAGTACTTAGTCTTAGAGCCAAGCAAAAGAAAATCGGTGAAGGTATCTGCTTCATTATAAGTGATACTGAACAATTTCACCCAATATCTTTTACCACTGATTGCAGGCCTCAACCGTGTGGTCTGGATCTACAAATGTGATTCAGACCAGCAGACATTTACTGTATGAAGTAATATCACATTTTGGTTGGTGCCTCAAGCTCTCCGCCAACTTACCTTCATACTAAAATCGCCCTTTGAGGCTATGTGTAATCCTATTTGTCATGATGACCCTGTCATTCCTGATTATATCATGTCATTCAGGGTGTATGGAAAGCAGTAAAATTAAAAGCAATGAACTCATGGCCCGTGGGCGGCTAAAGTCGTACTATTAGGATGTGAGGGCAGTTAGGTGCTTTCTTCAGATAGCCAGTGTCTGCAGTGGTGCATCCTTTTTACAAAGAAAGGAAAAGGTTAGAAAAAACTAGATCTAAAAATAAACACTTCACCTCGCTCCTTGGATTTTCGTCGCTAATAGGAAGATCATAAAATTACTGGGATAACTCACCTGAAAATATGCGATCGGCCTCCTGTGGTTGTCCTTTAGACATTGCGGTCAAGCTCCGAGGTTGTTAAGATGTCCTCCAACCAAGTTTCATTTTCAGGTCCAACAAGAAATAGTATCCTTCCAAGTTGTGGGCAGTCGAGAAATGACAACTACTCACATACCTTTGAAACGATCTATACTGATTTATAACTGCTATCAAATACGTATCCGATGGTTTTCTAGCTTAATCTATCCAAAGGTTAGACAAGTAACTAACCAAGCTTAGAATATAAAAAACACAGATTATAAGATGATTCTTTCCACAATGGAAAGTGTCTAATAGTTATTCGTTTGAAATTCTACTCCTATTTATTGGTATTGTATTTGTTTCCATGCGTTTCATGAATTATACTTATGCTCAAAATACTTTCCACTTGAAAACCCTACGTATCACATATTTTCCAGAGTTGAAAACAATCATGCATCTTTTGTTCGACAATGAAAATTTACGTAGTTGGATTATAGTCAATATGTTTAGTCATGATTGTGTCTTCTTCATGTTTTCACTTCAAAATTCATTTAGTTTATATATTTCTAATTTGCTATGCTAATTATATGTAAATTCAACAAATCAAGGCTTTAATGTTACGTATGTTATCAATAGTTTTATGAGGTTTGGTTATTGCTGATTGATTGGTATCAGGTAGTCTAAATGTCTACAGAGTAACATGGTTTGATTTAGAGAATTTATACCTTTGATGATTTATTCCAATGTTGTTACATTCCTTAAGCTTGATATTTCTGGATAATGCATATTGCAGAAAATAAAACAAGAAAATTGTTGTGTTCTTATGGTCCGTCAATATCATGAAACTGGATCGGCAATTAGAACACTGACTTATATGACCTTGACACTAAGCCAAACCAATAGTGCGTTCACCAGTTCGAGTAGCCCAGAGTCAATTCTGAGTTCTTATTGGTCTTCTGACATAATAGTCTCTTGCCTAACCCACTCTGTTCAGTTCAGAACGCTAATATCATATATTTAAGGTATGCTTAGTTTATATTCAAGCAAATCGTACTGCATCATACCATAAAATAGAAAATAACAATTATGCAAGATCAAGTCAGAGGTGGATATGAATGTAAGATATTGTAACTAATAGCTTGGGGATAACTTAAGAATAGTAAATCGTATAGTCGTAGTCTATAGTTGAATTCATGAGTCGATTGAAGCCAGACCACTATGGAAAACCTGGAAGCACTGGACGGATGTTTTGTTCTAGTATGGGATTCCTCAACTATGCACATCCAGTGCTTCCAGGTTTGCATTAATGGTCTAGCTTAGATCGACTCATGAATTCAACTATTAAAGTTACTACAATCTTCAAATACCCACATTCTGATTTTGAAATTATCAAGAAAATTCAAGTGATGTTTTCCTCTCTATTTTCTGACAACTTTGCTGGTTTTATACTCGTTATCCCTATATATAATTCCAACAGTGATTACGTGCATTCAAAATCAGTTTAAAAAAAATTGTCGATGAGACTATAGTTCATGGATGACCTTTGAACAACTCTAAAGTGACTTTGAAAATGTCCATATGCTTACTGGAGCTAAATGAGAGTTATAAACCTGTGTGAACTGATGGTTAGGGTTAAGAATTAGATTTAGGGTTTTCATCACAAACTAACATCAGCTAAAATGCCAAAACACTATGGATGAATAAATTTTGCGCCAAAATCTACGACCTGTTCTCTTATATCTGATTGATTCGTGCATAAATTATAATAGTCTCGCCAAATTGTCATTTAAGCGTGGTTTTGTTAAAATAAGCAAACTCCTTGCTTCACATAGTGACTTGTGGTATCAATATATTATCCATAGTTCAAATACAATAAAAAATGATAAACGTAAAGTTGGATAAGTCTATAAAATTTATAAGCTGACCGATAATCTCTAAGACACTTCGAATATTTTAATATAGTTCACTAGTCGAATCTCTATTATTCATATCTGTATTCTTTAATTTTCAAATTTTGAGAATCCCCATATAAACTAAGATCAGGAATCTAGTTCTTACAGGTTTTGAAAAGTGTCTTCGTCATTATTATTATTATTGTCACTGTGTATTATAACTGTGTACATGAATTCACATAATAACTATATCTATAAATAACATTTATTGATGGTCATTGAAATGAGACATCCTTATTGAAAAGTTACACATTAACTTTGCCAAAAAAGTCGGATTCTTTTTTGAAGTTCATCCCTATATCAGACAGATAGGCTTCAGTTTAAATACCGATCAACAATCATGGGATATCAACAAAAGCGTTTTATTCAAGTTCAACACTTTTAATAGCCATATATCTGACTCCAGTTGAATAGTTTCTGACTGCTATTGAAATATACATATCTCAAATCGTCGTATATAATTATTGACTTAGTCTGCGTTATTGAATAACAAAATGAAATAAGCCAAATAAGAGAATGGATTTTTGAATGTGTATGTTTGTACACTTATTGATCTGAACAGACAATCAGAGAGACGAAACGAAGAAAGCGAATCGAAATGACGCGCAGTGGAGAAAGTGTGTGAGTCAACTCGATGTAATCAATCATTAACCTATATTTGTAGCTGAAGAAAAATAAGTTACAGATATGTGATGAATAGGATAAGAAGTTGACACACCTACTGTCATATAAAAACAGTCAAGGTTGATAAGCGATTAATTAACAAGGTCAAAATGTGACTCAAGAAAAATGAACAAATCGCCCTGTTCAAAAGGTACAAAAGGCTATGCGGGCTTGACATAGCGATCAACACTACAGACTCTTTAATAGCACACACTCTTGGCTCCACTCTCGATCAAACTTAAAACCTGTAGACCTGACAAATCGGACACCCTGGAGCAACTGAATTAATATCTATGATTCACATTTCCAACCGGTTATATTGTACAATATTCATCACATGTTATCAGTTATACTGGTTCCATTCCCGACATAGTTGAACTACACTTTTCACTGGAATTTTAGAAATCTATTCAAAAACTATAAGAAAAATGTAAGTTATTAAATCGTGTTGACTAACTGCCGAATTAAATCAGCATATGATATGATAGATATTAGTGAAACTATTATTCTCTTCATAAAACAACTTTGTACATATAATCTGTAGATTAGTTCACTTGTGAAATAATAAATGTCTGAATGATTTTGTTATAATAGTTATTTGCTAAACTGAATAAGTCAGACAGAAAGTGATTGACCAATATGTCAAGGTCATCCAGTGGGTGTACCTGCAAAACTACTATGAATTTGGCCACTTAGTAAATACTTACAATGGCTAGTGAACTGATTACTACCTTTTTTTAAATGGGGGGGGGGTTGGAATAAATATTAGTCAACCTGTTATTGGATCTATTCATTTTATCCAATATCTCCTCATCACTACATGGCCATAATTTATATTGGGAACGTGTTAACTCCATAGAGACCAATCCAACTTTCGTACCATTTTACTACAAGTCCACTGACCAGTGTTTTTTCTCTTGAATTACACTCCAACATATTCTAACAAGATCTGGTTTCTTCCGTAACGTAGTCTTTTTGAATTCCAATCTCTTCTTAATATTTAAATATCAGGTGATATTCTCCTGATATTCCTGTGGCGCAATGAGATATAATGTATTGAGAAGTTATTGAATCTTCTTGTTATTATTTCAAGTTCTTCAGTGCAGTCCACACACACACACACACCATATTCCTATCTTCTGATTCTCATACGATCTATAAATATCACAGTTTAATTTACAAATGATTCAGTCTATTGTTGTTATCATTATTAATAAACACATGATTAAAGCTATTCTGATTCAGTTTAATAGTTCATCATGATCGATTTGTTGTAGATGAATGGTTTCATTATTAAACATAATAGTACACCTTTTTTTTAAAGAAAAAAAACATTTCACATACTTGGATCAAGAAAACTAATAATCATTATTTTACTTCATGACCCTATCAGTTCAGAACTGGTTAAGGACAAGTATCTCTCTTGATCAATATTGAATTTCTTTTGTTAAAGCTGGGCTTTTCTTTTTGTTGAAATTGTCATCTTCTTTTTTCAGTTATATACTAATACGTTAATTAGTTTCACAAATACTTTTATTGAATGTAATACTCAGTACTTATAGTAAATAAACTTAACTATTACTATACGGCTGAATAGACTTTTATTAATATTAGAGTTGAGTTAGTAATCAAGACGCTATGATTAAGAAGTTGATCACTTCAACTAATGAGATACACAACTAGAAATTTACTAAGTGTTATCAGTCATTGTCAGTTCAGAGTTTTGACACAAATATCTAATGGCTTAAGATAGCATACCACAGTAGAATGATGAAATGAAACAATTTAGTAGGTAAATCTTTGAGAATATGATTAGAAAGGACATAAAGGCAAGGTATGTGTGAACGAACGCTGGAGCTCAAGTTGTGGAGAAAGATAGACAGTAAACGTATCTGTTAGATCGCAACTGACTTTAAACCATTTCAGTAGATTTTCATCGACCACTGATTACTGTTATGGCATGAATTTCAATCAGATAGTGTGCATCTACCGATAGGGCTCCTTTCTCCCTGTATCATATCCTTATATGAAATCTTTTCTGACTACCACTAAGGTAATTGCTTCTATGAATTTGGTGTTCATCTTGTTGCGCTAATGAGGTATGATAACTTTGACCGATGCATATATGTGCCTGATTCTACGTTGTAGCTGACTGACTGAAGAGATCTCAGTCCCATAAGAGATTAATTATAGATCTATTATGTAAATAGTTGTATCTATGTTTTCGACACTATGTGACACGATTTTAGGTTACATAGTAAACAGTAGTTCTGTAGTGAACAGAACACGGATGGGGACAATCGAATGTAGTTAACACAAAATTACAGGAGTTGTTAATAAAATCTAACAATCATTAAGTAAATGTTTAATTTGCTAAATGTCCACCAATTGTCTCAAAATGACTCAGACTTCATTGTTCTTGCATGTTCATACAAATTGCATCCTGTTTCGATTCTTTACTATTCGATCCTCTTGTCTCTCTGTTGCCAGACCTTCTGTTCACGACTAACATCATCTACTACTTATGTTAATATAAGTAGCACACACCGCAGTTCCTTTAAAATTAGCGATACATCTTAATGATGAAGATTATTTTAACGTCAATATTATTCATAAAATTAAATAATAAAATCTTTTCAAAATGTTTGTATTTGTAATAATAAAGCAAATGGGGATTAACCAATCAGAAAACATTGTTGTCATTCGTCATGGTAACCATAGTATCTATAGGACTATTTAAAATATTTTTATCCTTTAATAAATGATACTTTATTCCATTTCGTCAAGAATATTTGTTGTTTTCTTTTCATATTTTTTCGTAATATGGAGTTTTGAACTTATGAAAGTGTAATCAATGTTCCAATTCAGTGTGTATATTTTGTCATAGTAACTTAACTATTGTATCTATTTGAATCTTATTATTCTTTATTAGTTTAAATAGAAAAAAGGAATCAAATAAATAACTATACTTAATTCACTTGGTATTGTTTGTTTGAATCTTCCTATTGATGTTTAGGATTGCAATTGATAGGACGAAACTTGCGTGTTGTATTCCACTACTAACCACTATCCATCTTTACAATATAATACTTGTGAATTAAGGCTATATCGAGACAATATACACATATGCCAATAAGAGACTGATCCATTGCAATCCTAAACATCATTGGGAAGATTCACGTAAACAATAGCTAGTGGATTTAAACTTCACCCTAGCGCACAACCAAGTGGCTGTCAGGACTCAGTAGGTAAGTGGATAACGCTATGGTGTTTGAGGCGAATGGTACTGAGTTCGAGTCCCAGAATGAACATCAACTCAGAGATGCATGTATGTTCAGCTGACGAGTCCACAATAGAACGAAACACGCGTCCTGCATTTCAGTGCTAACCACTATCCATTTTTGCATGAAATAACTATTCTGTTACGATTATTATTCTGGATATTTATGTGTTGTTACTTATATGTATTAATACTAAGAAACATTAGTGTCCAATGTAAGATAGTACTCTGTTTAATCACATGAACAAGCATAATTTCTTGTAAATATAATTCTAACGGTTAATCAAGATATCTGAATTAAAATAACTAGAGTGAGTTTGAAACGTATGAATAAATGATCAGTGTTTAAGGGATTTGTCAAGATTGTTTTTGATAACTTACATAAGGAATTGATGTTAATTAGATATCCATTGAAAATCAAGATGTGTTAAGATGTCGTTGTACCCATTCATGACTCTATCAATGGGGATGAAACCCATGATACTCAGATATCATTAAAAGCTCTTAAACTTTAAATTTATGTGTTGGCACTTATTGGATGTACAAATTTTGATATAAATTATTTCGCGCCATTGTACAATCGTAATTCAATGCTGTTAGTAGGTACATAGCTCAGCCTAGTATACTTGAATTAAACTAATTACAATTACTCACTAGAATTAATGAAATTAACTCTCGAAATAAATCACTAGTGAGCATATAAGCAAATGCCTAAAAAAGAAACGAATAATAACAATAATAACTAAGGATACATTTCGAGAAAAGAGCACAGAAAATTACAGGTAGTTAGTGTGAGGACAGTCCACGGGTGAACTCAAGGAAGCTCTAGTAAACTCAGAAAAAGCCGAAGATATTCCATCCAATCATCTTTTGGAAGAATATTTCAGAATTTCTACATGTAACTTCCCTATTAAGACAGATACTGAAAACCCCTGCATGTGGGTGTATGTATTAAAAATCATATAAATATAAAATATTTTCCTCTGTATGTTGTACAAAATGATTATTAGAAAATGTTCTTATGAATTGTGACTCAAATTAAAGAAAGTTCGTCAAAGAGATTGTAGTATGGAGTCGAGTCGCGGTTGACTATGATCACCACTACAAGAAGAGCGCGTACCAGAAAATAAGAAGACAGATGAAAGCTGTAACAAGATTTATTCGTTGGCGATCTCGTGGTATCGAAAGTATACCGAGATTGTGCCAAAGAAAATACAAACGGAATCAATAGGCAAACGTGCCAGCGTACAAGGCCACAGTCAACGGAAGAATAATGGTTGTCTTTAGTACAGTTAAACAAACAAGTACAGCAAAACAATCACTGGTACAATTGGTTATAATAATAATTGTTTCCATAAAACCAATCGCGTTCTCTTGATAAAAGTAGGTCACTACAAGATTATGTCATTCAAGTATAACTATGGTTACGTTTACATATAATTAATCTATCGTGAAATATAGAAGAGTGTTGCATCATTATGAATATAAAGACGATCAAATGACCAAATGTATCATTTGACACTGACAATTGAAGTTTTATAAACATAGTAGAATATGAAATGGGACATAGTGTCCGTTGTTATTTTAGACCCATGTAACTTACGAATTTATCTATTCTTGTTAATTAAGTCACTTATCACTTGTTGTTTCTTTTCTTTTTTTTGTTCTTTAGAAATTATACTACTGATATGCACAATATTTTGTATGTTATGGATAAGTACAAGTTTTACACATTTTTATCCAGTACAATATCAACAAAATGAATTAGAATTTGAACGTGGTATTAAACAAGTTCATACTGGTGGTTTAATATTATTATTTATTATACATTTAATACATATTACATTACGTTGTATTTCAATTGCATTATTTACTGGACGATTTAATTTAATGATATTAATTATATTAATTGGACATTTGATAATTGTTTTAATAACAATTATCATTGCTAGAAAATATACTACTCATTTAGATCATTTAAATCAAAGAACTAATACAGTAAGTTTTAATTTGAATTATATATGTCATGCTATTCATAAATATTTAGTTGGTTGAAAGTAATTGGCAAAGGAGCTATGATACTAAGTTATATGTTACTTGATATTTAACAAGTCTTACGGATTGAACGCTATATTCGTTTCCTAAGCTATTCTCGTAACCCCCAAGCTAGAACTATACAGCGACCTGAACACGAAAGAGAGAGAAGACGCAAAGTATGCGAGAAGTAGTTTACTCCAAGGTTCATTTTAATACAGAAACATACAGGGTTTTTATAATATTTTAAATGTCCTTGGGTTGCTAGAAGATTCTGGAATGCTACTAAACATAGTAGCAGTGTAGCAATCAGCCAATCAGACCCTCTGTATGTGATGTTTCGTTTCCTTGATATTTTTGGCTAAGACTTCAAGTGAACGCTGATTGGATGAAACGCTTCTTAGTGTTTCCTGATGCTTGCTTGTCTTTTGTAAACCATTTTCTGGATCACCCCAACAGTATTCATCATTAAGATATAGTTTCATTGTTCAAGATTCTAATTTTTTTTATTGGATTTTGAACATGTATAATAGTCAAAGATTGCAACTATAATATCATGCATATTCATTTACAGTAGTTTTATTTATTTATTTATTTGAACACATAAATATTGGTACAAGAGAGCGCCAATATATATGCGCCACACAAAACAATGGGAATTCGAAGAGAAGTAGAAAGAGAAAAGAAAAAAAACTAAGGAACGCAAAAGAAAAAGAGAACAATGACGAAGAGATTGGAGTAAGGTAGTGTGGTAGTAACGACGGAACGAAAAGGTACAATCAGAAGAAATCTTTCAGGTAAAGGAGACACAACCACTTTTTATGAAGAAAGTAAAAGAAGGTTACAGCAGGATCGCCACTGGCTTCTATTCTGAGCCATATCTGATAACGTCTCTAGCCACTGTGTAGCACCATCTCTTGGACCCCAACCAGGGAGTCGCGAAGGACCGACCCAAGCCAGTCCTTTGCAGCTTTCTTTCATGCCACGACACCATGTCATGCACTGACCACCTCTCCGCTTCTTCCAACCAGTCCCAGAGTCGGCAAATAATGCACGACATGGAATTCTCTGGGATGACATCCGTAGAACATGTCCAAGCCACCGAAGTCGGTGTTTCAAGATGGTGACACCAATTGAGTTATCATCTCTGTGCCCGAACACACGATGCCGAACCTCTGCATTACTGACATGGTGTTGCCACTGAATGTCAGCAATCCTTCGGAGACAGCGATGATCGAACACAGAGAGTCGTCTAACGTCCTCAACTCGGAGAGGCCAGGTTTCACAAGCATAGAGCAAAACTGCTCTCATCGACGCGTTGTAGATCCGGCCTTTTACAGCCAGACTAACATCACGAAGGCGCCAAAGGTGGCCCAGATTGGCATATGTCGCTCTGGCGTTCACTATACGTTCATTGATCTCATCACTCACATCCCCACCAGCACTTATACAGCTACCTAGATACACGAACTTCTCGACTACTTCTATCTGCTCACCATCCAGGGTGAATACAGGATTAGAAACCTGCCAGTCTTGTAGAAGTACTTTGCACTTCGAAAGTGAGAAGCACATACCATACCTACGGACATTGATTGTCAACTGATTAAGTGAGGATTGCATGGCTTGGGCATTATCGCACAGTAAGACAATATCGTCCGCATACTCAAGGTCGAGAAGTCTTTCTCCAGGCAACAGATCCACATCACTATTACTTACATTCATCAGAGCTGTTTCCAGAATGTCATCGATGGCAAAGTTGAAGAGGAATGGTGAGATTGGGCAACTCTGACTAACCCCACTGCTCGAATGGAACAATGGATGGAGGTGGTTGTATGCCCTCACTCTGCCTGAGGTGTTTTTATACAGGGCTTTTCGGATGTTAATAAACTTCTCAGGCACACCCTTCTTCAATAGACAATCCCAGAGAACAGTCCTGTCCAACGAATCGAAGGCAGCCCTGATGTCAAGAAACACTACGATTGTTGGCCTTTGAAAAGTATGGCGGTGTTCTAACATTTGGCGGAGGGTGAAGATATGATCAATACATCCTCGACCAGAACGAAACCCAGCCTGCTCCTCGCGAGTCAATCTTTCTCGGGTTTTGAACAACCTACGAAGAATGATGGAAGCCAATAGCTTGGACGCAATCGGAAGTAAACTTATCCCCCGATAGTTGTTACAAGAACGACGTGAACCCTTTTTAAAGATAGGGACAACTATCGACTCATTCCATGACGTTGGTACACTCTCTAGTTCCCAAACCTTTGTAAACAACGTCGTCAATTCCTTAGTCAAAAAGTCACCACCATCTTTAAAAAGAGCCGGAGGTAAGTCATCTGGGCCAGGTGATTTGTAACGCTTCAAGAGTTGGAGTTCCTTGCGGACTTCCTCCTCATTTGGTGGATCAGTCGTCACCGGCCATGGAGGGCAGGACAGTCTGACCGATGTTGCCGGAGCAGCAGGCCAGTTGAACTGCCCTTCGAAAAACTCTGCCCATCGTCCAAGACGTCGATGGATGTTAGTGATTGGCATCCCATCATCCTCGCAGATTGTTTCACTCACACCAGACTTCTTGCTGCCAGTGGCTCGGATGAGTTGGAAGAGCTTCCGGTAGTTACCAGATGCAGCTGCTGCTTCCAGCTCATTAGCACGCATCGACCACCAGGCTTCTCGGTCCTTACGCAAGCTTTGCCCAATTTCCTTACGTAACATCCTTCGTTTATGGTCAAACTCACGGTCACCCGGAGTAGACCGACGGGCTTCAATGAGTTGTAAGGAACCAGAAGAAACCCAGTGCTTAAAAGCGGGACGTTTCGCAAACCCACAACTGACTGTTCCCGCCATTTTCATGGCGTCATGCAATTGCAACCAATGCTCATCTATACTTTTCGGTGGGAAAAGTGAATATCACTCCACTTTCTCACACCTCATTGCAAAAAGATATCGATAGGTTGAATTACACAAAATGTGAATCAATATTAAATTTATTGACAAAATCTAGGTGTAAAAATAATTCAAAGTCACTCAGTCACATCGTAGAACCTGGTACGTATTTACATTCAAGTTGCCATACCTCATGTTATTTCTCTTATTACGACCCAGCTATTCTTACTGCTTAGTATTATTTATTATTTATTATTATTTATTTGAACACATATATTGGTACAGGAGTGCGCCAAATATATATGCGCCACACAAAACAATGAGAATTGAAGAAAAAAAAGTGAGGAACGTAAAAAAATAATAGAAAAAAAACAATAACGAAGAGATTGGTGTAAGGTAGTGTAATAATAATAGTAATAGTAGGGGAACAGAAGGGTACAATCAGAAGAAATCTTTCAGTTAAGGAAGAAACATCCAGTTTTTATGAAGAAAGTAAAAGAAGTCATTATATGTGAAAATTATATTTGAAATATTCTCAGCGATTGAAATATAATTTTCACATATAATGACTTCTCTATACTCGGCGCTCAATTACTGTCAAACTATTCGTTCTAATCTTGACGAATATTCGTATAAAGTAAAAGAAGGTTGCAGCAGGATCGCCACTGGCTTCTATTCTGAGCCATATCTGATAGCGTTTCTAGCCACTGTGTAACACCATCTCTCGGTGGAATGGTGGCTAGCCTAGAGGCTAGCTCGGTTCGATGCTTACTTGCAACAGAAGTTGCAACCAGCTTGCTAACATCAGTCCGTTGGTGGCGGTCACTTCGTTGTCCATTGAAAAGTAAGGTGAGATTGGCGCAGACCAAGGCATGGTCAGAGTCCAGATAAGTACTCCAAAAGGAGCGGCAGTCTTGTATACAACCACGCCAGCGGTAGCTGATCGCGATGTGATCAATCTGAGTCCAGGCTTGGGATGCAGAGGGAGGACGCCAGGTGGCACATCGGCGATGACTGTGTCAACAGTTAGTGCTAGCCAGAAACAGGTTGTGGTCTGCGCACAGTTGCAGTAGACGGTCCCTGTTATCTGACCTGCGACCAACGAGTCCCCATCGGCCACCTAAACGACTCTCTTCTGTGCCTAGACGCCCGACCTGAGCATTCAAGTCTCCGGCTAGTACTACAATATCTGTCGAACGCACTTTCTGGAGAAGAACTGATAACTGGTGGTAAAACTCATCCTTGATTGCATCCGGGCTGCAATCTGTCGGGGCATAGGCGGAGATGACGAAAAGACATCGTTTCTCACGCCGATTTCTTCTCACTTTGATAGAACTTTCTAATCTAACAACACATAACCGACTGTTAATGGGGATCCAATCGACTAGTGCTGCCTCAGCTCTAGCGCTTAGTGCGACACCAACACCAGAAAGACCAGACGAAGATGCCACAGGGTCCCCGGATAAACGCACGTAAAACAAGCTTTTCGAAGCGACAGATGGAGATCGAATTTGTAGTACTTCACCAGTCTTGAATACGGGTCTCGGATAGACAACACACGTCGATATTAAGACTTTCCAAAGACATAGCCAGCCCTATCTGTTGTCCGACCTGCATAAATGTGCGAACGTTGAAGGCAGCCAGTTTGAATGGTGCACGTGGTTTCAGAAAATCTGCTTCAGTTTTCGTATTCGGTGGTAACATACAATTTTCAACCGGACAGTGACTCGAGAACGTTTAGATACAGTCGGATTTCCACCAAAGACGAGCCGCTGTATATTTATAAAAGAGGGTGAATAATGTGGAAAATAATAATAATAATGATAATAATAACAATAATGACAATAATAGTAGTAATAATAATATTAGTATTAATAATGACAATAATTGTAATGATAATAATCTGAATCAATTGTTTGTTTTTCAAAGCGAGAAAGGTAATTTCCATAGGCATAAAGAGTTCATCAATTTGTGTGTGGGCTGTGATACTGCCCGGGTGCCCAAACCGAAGCAGGTGGTTATCTTAGGGGGCCACTCCCCGAGCCTTTGACCTAAAGGTCTAACCCACAAGGCAGTGGAGC